CAGTTCGTACTTCTTGAAACTTAGGTTTCCGAAGATCAGATCTCAATATGTGCGGCCCTGATAAGTCTTCAGTCCTTGACAATGTCTTTGCAAGCACGACACCTTTCTCCAGAGGGAAAAAAATACATTTACGTGTGCCTAATATGCACAGCGCTCTTCAAAATCGTCCTTCTGAAGTCCCTAGCTGCTTCTTCATACTTTATCAGTTCTGTGAACAACATTCACATAGTCAATGTTTCCCTTTTCTCTAGAAAATAGTTTTATGGATCAGTGTTGGGCCTCTGCAGGCTTATACGAGCAGCAAGTTTTTTAAGAGCGTCGCCTAAACCGTCAAAATCATTTTTTTCATGAAATAATGGGAAAAAGTGCAATTATGCATTTATTACAAAGTAATCGTGATAAAATGTAACTTTTAAGAAATTGTTCTTGTTTTGATATTGTGCAGAAGATCTGTCAAATAAATTCTTAATTCAGTGGTAGAAATTTCGAATTCTTTGTTAACAAAAGAAAAACAAAAGAAAAATATTCAGAAAAATTGCACAAAGATATGCATTCTCCTGATTGAAGCAATATTCTACGATCTCGTAGGCATTTATTTTTTTCAGAGATGAATGACGGTGTCAACAATTTACGAAGTTTTGCTATTAAACCATCATTGTTCTTAAGATAAACGCTTCTTTTGACTTCACGATTGTTTCTAAATTTGATCTGTCAGTTCTCACCCACTGAACTAAATAGTTTCGAAGTTTTTTCCATTGTTTCTTCGAAATTATTTTAATCATCAAAATACCGGGACTTTCAGATCACTAATCAAAAGAGCAGCGCATTCGAAGTGGATTGCGTGCTGCGTGTGCTAGCACGTGTGTGTAAGAAGCAACATTTAAGTTAGACTGCTGTAGTAATGGTGGTAACTTGAGAGCAAGTATAATCTTTACGTTCCGATAACACAAATGTATGTGTCTCACTTAAATAAGCCAAAATGAACTTTTTTGGCCGAAGAGATGCAAACTTTGAAAACCTAATTTTCAGATCAGGATGGGAAGATTTCAAATCGGTGTATAGTTTACTTGAATTTGCAACAGAGAGTTTCTTCTCTTCTAGATCCTTGCTTCCCGCATCCGCATAGTTATATAATCGTGTCCGCGAGCATTATTTTACTACGAATAGTTTCATCTGAATAATAATATTTCTTTAGTTTTTTGTTTGTTTCTTCGCATAAATTCTGGCCCGGTTTTGGACAATGTGCCCTGCTCTGCTTTTAGCTTTACATATCATGTATTCAGAGGAAGGAAATTTACTTTTAATTTTATCAATGCTCCCGCTATTCGGAAGAAGTGTCAAAATAGTATTTTTTCAATTTTGTGCAGATTTGTTAAAATTTCTCTTTAAACTGATTTAATACATCTTCGTCTGAACTTCTGGATGACCTAGGCTGCGGGACTTTAGAAAAACTTCCTTCTTTAAAACACTTCCCATTTTATTATATTTTTTCTCTTTATACTGACTTTCTTTATATCTTTTTACTGTAAGAAGTGCACATATACTTACTGTTTAAAAGTTTCATTAATGTATTTTGATCAACAAACGCGTCTTTATTATCCGAATCTTCTGGTGAATATAGTGAACTTTCTGATGCAACACGCGAATCAATCTTTCTGTTCATTTTTTCCTGCATCTATCGCATATTGTTTGTTGAGATGACAAATTATGGTATACTTTGGCTACCCATGGAAGAACACTACGAAGGTTTTTTCTACAATAAGAGTGCCCAGTATTGACTGGATTATAGCACACAGAATATTCAAACCGATATTCCATGTTGCAGTTGCACACACTGAAAATGTTTCTAGAACCTACGGTACGCGAATGACAACTGAGCTCAGGCTGAACCTTACAAGGTTTTAGTAGTTTCCAACATAGTGTTTTTGTCTCCAGTGATCAAAACACAAACATTTGCATGTCCGGGACAGCGCTGGGGCCGGCCAACTCGGGCCCCCGGGAGCTCTTGTTAGCCAGCAGGCACCTTCGTGGTCGCTTGTGGAAGAATTTCGGATCATAACTTCTTGCTGAATTGCCATTCCAAATTCAAATTCTCTCCCATAAGACAATGCATATTGAGTTTTAAGATATATTTTTTCAAACATTTTAAAAATTCCTTTTTTGTTAAAGTTTACAGAACACTTGTGCAGCACAGTAGTTAACACACTAATAAAATTATTAATGTCTATGCATTTATATGGACCAACATATCAACTTTTCAATGAGATAAACAGTTTTGCTCTCTGTTTGATAGAACGGAAGATATGCCATTCAAATGAGCACTTGCGCACCGACCTTTATGCATTTCTTCGATTTTCCAATTCACGTAAAATGCAAACCAACAACATCGGCATTCGAAAACTTTACGGAGGCAGTTTATGTGTCATAAAGAAAATGTGCACGAAGTTTCATTAAAATCAGACCAGGTGAGGGCTGAAAATGTCTCTATTCTGCAACGATGGTGGAATGACCCAAGAACGATAAAGACTTACAATGCATTTTTCTATACGGCCATTTAATAATATACATGTTCCTGCTGTACATGTAATCGACGATTGGCATCAACGCACCCTGTGGATTGCAGTTTGAAATCTACGGCCTGTCGACCAATCATATTCCTAGAATTTTCGGAATCGGGCAGAAGTGCATTATCTTTGCAATTCGTGCTTCTTTTGAACTGCGGGAGACAAGAGAATGATTTTGCATTTTCATGTACGTTGCCTAGATATTGTTGTACTCGTATATCTCGCTACGTTTCTTTCGCATTGATCATTCAACAGAAAATGAATCAAGTCAGAGACACTGACAATTGAACACACCTGAAGTTCAGGAAATAGCGAATTCAATAACTCTACAAATGACAGAAAATTCAAGGAAGTATTATGAACAATCATATATAAATAGCATTTATGGAGAAAAGAGAGTTATGGGGTGACTTCTCTTAGCGAGAACGTTTTCTTGGCTTACTTAACAAAACTTTCTCAACAGTATAAACCCTCCAGTTAATGAAAGATTTACTCAATGTTAGGAGCACATTGTATATACACAATGAAGTACAAGTAAGTAAAACAAAATCTTTTCAAAATATATTTTTAAATCGTGGAGAAAGTATAATTTTCTACTCGCGCATAATGGCGCGTGTAGAAGACTATACGTCCACTCATGGAAATAACGAGACTCGCACCAACGACACTAGGCGGTAGTAAACATCAACATGTGAGTAATCATCATAATCATCGCGTGAATAGCCATCATTACGCGATCGTTGAAGAATATACTAGTATTTGCTGTCATTACCCCTCAGTACTGTAAAGACTTACGAGTATCAGTAGCATATTACAAACAGTCTTTGAGTTTTTTGCATGAAATGCTCCATCTAAATGAAGATTAATATAATCCCAAGCTTTTAATCACAACTGAGTTTTTAGAGCAATGTTGGTAAAAATATTCACGAAACGCAGGTGAGAAATTAACAATTGTAAACTTAAATAAAAGTATGTTAATAATTTTAAAACAATTAATTATTACATTAATTATTATTTACAAAGAATACTCATATCATCATTTCAACAAGTAAATTAATTCGTAGTTTGTTCTATGTAACAAAGAGTTTCACAAGTCGAAACTTGACCCGAAATATTATTGTAATCTTTGTAGGATCAGGGTTAGAGATACTGACGATAACAAATACATAAATAATAAGTTATTTATTACACATTCAAGAATGTACATTACACGTTTTTCTGAACCTATTGCTATACACTTTCGGGCTTGGAAGAGAATTAACGTATTCCTTACGTTCTATTAAGTACATTTGGTGCGCAAATTTACTTAATTCGCATTCGAACAAAAACTGTTTCTTGAACAAAGCAGTTATACTGTTGTTTCCGTTATTTCCCACCTTTTTTAGTTTATTATCAATGAAATGAACAAATATTTGAATGAGCATTTTTACTTGAAGCATTGGGCATATCAGAGAGCATTATAACCCCTAATTGAAAATAAGGTGGCAGTAAATAGCTAACGCTGAAAGAAATGCAGATTGTATGAAATTACAACCAATTAGAAGAACCCTTAATTTTCAAATGACTGTGTTTATAATTTTATCACAAAGTTCTTCACCATTATATTTACTTCTTTTTAATCGTAGATTAGTTCACATCCTCTACATTTTTAATACTTAGTTCTTCTGAAATCTTCACTGTTACAAAGTATGTCTTAATAATATTAAATAGATACATTTAACACTTTTGAAAATAAAATTCAAGAAGAACTATTTGAGACAGTATAATTTTCAAAACTCCATTTACATGAAATGTCACTAAAATGCACATTTTCATCTTTTTACTCAAGTCTTATATCAACCTGTTATTGCATTAAAGAGTGCAATAAGCAAAAAAAGATGAGACTCGTTTTTTGAATAGAAAAACCAAAACAATATCTTCTACCATCACTTTACATAACAACGTTGATTAATTGCTGATATGGAAATATAAATGACGTATTTCTTCGATAATATTTGAGGACATCGCTTCGTAAAATTAGTCACTGTGACTCATGTAATCAAAAAATTGATTGAGTAATGGTTTCGATCCAAATGTGAGCGTTTGTCCTTACAGAATTAATATATGTTCAGATGTGGGTGTTTGATTAATAATAGTTTGAATATATTATTTTGTTGTGGCATTATATTTGAACGTGTTGATATTGCTCGCCGAGTCTGTCATCAATTTAGTAAAATAACTGTTAAGAAATTCGTTCTGACACGAATTATTAGTAGCCTATATTTTATTTCTTATCAAAGTTAAGAGTTTCAGATTTTGTTTGAATTTTGTTTTCGAAAATAGACTGAATAGTTACAGCCAAAATGCAATTAAATTGATATGTTGCTATAAAAAGATATTTATATCATGTTATTGCTATGTCAGATATGTAGGTAATGTTGGGCACAAAATGTCTCATTTAGGCAAACTGCAATAAAAATATAACAGGGATCTTCTAAAATGAATGTGACGTACACAGTGTAATATAAATGAACATAATTATAGAGAAGAATATATGAACATTGTTTGTATCTAATTACGGAACGTTAACATACTTGGCGAAAAAGTGATTTCTCATATTTGCATCCGTTCTCCGATGTGTAGATTTGTTGTTGTTGCGACCGTTTTTTATCTCTTAGAATATGAACAATATTTTTAAATGTTCGTGAAAACTAGTACTTATCTTAATAGTTTAATGATTGGCAAGTGATTATTCGCGATTTGCAAACGGCAAAATGGATGCATTCCGCAAAGTTAGCCATACGGATAGCCATGGCCTTATGCAAACATTGGGTGTATGCAAACACTCCGGAGCGACATGAACCAACGTGACTGTCACCTCACGTATTGAAATGGTCAGTGGTATAGCTAGGTTCTCGGATGTCCCGGTGCAGAAAATCGAAGTGAGGCTTCTATCTGCGATTACTAAACGTGAGTTTTAAATCTAATTGGTATAAGGAAATGGCTGGCAAAACGGAGAAAAATCGCACGGAGTGAGACTTATTTTCTTTGTCGGTGTCCGTGTTCTTGTTAGGATCCCTGGTTCTAGCTACGCCCCGGATGAACCTGAAAGTACATTCTTGCAAGTTTCCATGAAATCGTTCTAAAAAGCAATGTAGGGAACTCGTACAAAAGTTTCTTCGGCGTACTCACTTGAAAATGGCGGACTCGTCTCGCTGTCGCCTCTTCCGTCGACTCTCATTGTTCGCTGAAGACTCGCTTCATGTGCGAGTTGCGTAAATAACTATTTTTGTTCTTTGTGATATTCACTTTGATTAGAAAATTTAACATGACAAATGACCATTATGTTGTTCCAAGGGGGTCTAGAATTGTGACGTCATTCGGGTCGGAGTCGCGTGGAAGAACGTTGTACATTAAATTTTCAGTTTCTTATACTATTAAAACTTAACCAGCCATCAAACCTTTTGTGTGATGGTACAACCGTTGAATAATACGTTTTATTACGACTGATTTGATATCACACGTTATTAGAAGGAGATATAACGGACTTCTTTGAGTTCAAATCTGTTGACCTCAAAATGGTTTATAACATCTTGAAAATTTTGAAAATATTGGGAATGATGAAATAAACATTAGAGATTTTTAGTGTTTTGGCGATAAGAGGAGTTCAAGTTGCTCTTTTAAAAGCTATAATTCGTTAATTATTGATTTACTGTATGGTAAAAACACTGTACTGAAGATAAGTTAATTAACATCCTGAAAAATTTATTTGATTCGATAAAAATTACTTTCTATTGCATACAGATGTTCATGAAAAAATTAATGTAAATGTGATATCAACGAATCGAGCATTATCTACGAGTATTTTAGATTATCAATAATCTACTTGTACTTTTCATTTAAAACAATGTTATTGCGGTGAAAATTCTGTATTGAAAGATCTTTGATAATTTTGGATACATGAAATAGTTGGACGCCTTTCACCTGGGCTTACTTAAAAAAAACTACACTTTTCTACACTTTTCATAGAAAAACTGTCCTAAATCTTCAGTTATCAAATGTACAATAAAAACCTCAAAAGTGGGAATGGTGTCTTTTTCCCGTAATGTTCTAAACTTGAGAATTTCTCGATGATCCATATCAGCCCTTCGTTGAGCAGGTTCAGACGGGAGTAAGTTTGTTAGGTGGGATGACTGATTTAGAAAAAAATTGTTGTGTAAGCATAATCAATCAAGAATGATCGTTTACTGGGCTGAACTTACTAAGATTTTTCATCTCGTTTCACACACACTACTATGATGGCAAGCGCATTTTATTCACAGCGAAATTTTGCGTATAGTCCCCGATAAATCAGAGGAACCCACGGTTTTCTTTTTTTTGAGTCTTTTAGAAAACCAAACTGCTTAACCGCCGATATAAGTGCTTTTGCTTTCTTGCACACATCCAGAAACATCTAAACAAATCATTCAACTTAAACGATTATTTTCGATAAACACTAGCAAATTGTGAATACCGTGACTGCCCGGCGATCAAATCCTGGCTCGAATGTTGACGTCAGTAGCGCATCACGTGATTAGGTGCAAAGCCTATTATTCTAGACTGTCTTGGATGTACTAGGAGGATAAATATCTGTGTATATTCTCAGTGCCAAAGATCTGTACATTTCAAAATAGTAACATTTCCTCTATGATCTCGCGAGTATTATAAAAACCTATTGATCTTTATTACGAATCTAAAACATCCTTTGACTGTACAGTCTTTAGATTGCCCTGTATAGCGTTATTTTCTTACTTAAGTATTGATACTAGTATTGCCTCAGCAGTACTTATTGAAACAATTTGATTTATTGACTTTATTTGGTAAACGATCATACTTCCGTAAAATATTATGTACCGAAAAGTATTTTGAGGCAATATTAAAAGATAAAACTTTTAAAGCTTCATAAGCACTTTTGTATCCACTCAACATCAGACGTATGGCACACATTGGATGGATTGAGTTTATTGTTTTTCATTCTAAACTCGACCTTATTTTACAAATTGATATCTAAAAATAGCAGGCCACCATTTGTTCTGCATACGCGCGCCTAAGATAGTCTAAAACTAATATTAGGTAGCATGCAGATTTTGCGGTAATATTTTATGAAGTGCATTATTATATTGCTTGTAGCCTCTTCGATTTCTATTGAAACAAGGGAAGAAGTGTAATTCCTTGAGGCGATACTATCTTTGGCCGCACGCAAGTAACCCACAATACGTATTGTGGCGCCGTTAACACGAGGGCCAGAACCGTTACCTCGGTGAAAGTGCGCTGCGGGGGAGCAAGGGGTTGAGCCTGAACTTCAGGGATTTTGCGCTCTGGCAGTTGACGCAGTCAGCGTGGCAGAGCCAAAATTAACTCTAGGCTGTAAACTCCTAGGAAGCTGGCTAGCGAGCCTCGCTTGCCGACAGCAGGCGAGCCTACCTGGGAATCTTGTGTGGTGGGGATGTAGCCCCCTCCTAAGATGCTGGCTAGCGAGCCCTCGCTTGCCGGCAGCAGGCGAGCCTATCTAGGGAATTTGTGAGGTGGGGGTGTAGCCCTCAACTATTTAACGCGGCGCCATCGGCGCCCACGTTCTCATTCAGTTTACATCAGAGAGCCTAGTACGAGTAGGTACAGGGAGCGTAGGAGTGTGGGCAAGATGTCCGAGTGTAAGGGCCAGACGATCTCGGGTGCTTTCTGCACGCGGTCCGCCAGACGGCGACCGGTTTAAATTTTGGCATCAGGCCATGTGACGGTAATTGTCACGGGACGGAAGTCCGACAGCTCGCATCACGCGTGGCTTTTTTTTCTGCGGTAAAACAGGGTACTGGAAGGAAAAGGTTGCCGGAGTGTTTAAATTTAGCAATTTATTGTAACTAGTGTGTAACTTTTCAATATACTATTTTTATTTTTATTTGAATTTATTCTCTTTTCACTACGTCACAGTATGTTCAGAATTTTTCCAAAGACGACGACAGTTTATTCAGCCTTAAAACGATGCTAATATTGTTTAACCAAGAGCCTAGGAAACTAGACGGTCTTCTGGTAGCACGTTAAAACTGCCTTCTGCCGGATACCGATTCAAACAGGCATGATGGTTAGGCAGAGAGCAGTTTGACCAAGAACCGACCGAATACGCTTCGTTATGGTTTTTCATTCCTAACTTCGTCCAGTGTTGAGCGTGTTTAAGATAGCCCGGACCGTAGCGGTTACGTACTAACAGCCCGGGATTCCAGGGGCCACGCATCCAAATCCCCAATATTTTCATTCTCGTCGGATAATTTTGCATTTCTTTGGGCAACAGAAAAGTGCTCATTTGCTTTCGGCACCACATGTCGATAGTGACGTTCGGAGTAAGAAAAGTAAAGTATTTAAACCCGTCTTTCTCGGTGAACCGTTCAAAGGAGTAGCCCAGCTCGGCCATTTCGTGCTTCTTGGCCTTGTGGATTTCAAAGTCATCAAAGCGAATGAGGATGTCGCCGTCGATGTCCCACGGCAAGACACTGCGCAGCTTGGCTGCACCCAGCGCCGTGCCCTCGTTCAATTCGTACTCGAGGTTGTGGCGCGTCGCGAAGTCTTCGTAGGCAGCCAGCGCGCGCGCCACCTGGGGAAGGATCGAACATGAGTGTGAGTTGCGCTGGAACCACTGAGTAATTTGAAACAATTATAAACACCTCCTTAATGATACTCTAAATTATATTTTTGGTCCCAGTTCAAAATAGATTATATCCGCTAACAGAAAATATTGATGACGACAGTGACGCTCTTCAGATATCGCCCAAAAATACAATTCTAATATATTTGCATCACGAAGTAGATTGTCAAGATTTTACAAACTCTCAATGAAAAGCTAGTATCAGATGAAGCCATGGAAACTCGTACGAACTGCACCAAAATCCAAACGTCAATCACGGACGACTTTCACACTAACATTGCTATCTGATAAACATTTTTGAAATATCATACATACAGGTTCCCAAGGAACAGCTATTGCCAGTCATTCTTAGAAATATTCCACAAGCTATTTCTGAAACAACTATATTGGAAGAATTCAATTATCAGAGTTATCCAGCAAATAAAGGGAACAGGTAATCGTCAATGTAATTTGCAAACCTTGTAACTTCATATTCCATTTCTATTTTATGTTTACATCATGATAAAATATTATTATGAAAGAAGAGTAATAAATAAAAGTAAGTAATTGAGTTCCCCGGTTTTTATAAGTTCAACACTGGAAACTAAAATTCTGCTACACCAATCCTGTTCATTCTTTCGTTACAAAACTGTCCAATCTGGAGTTACGAAATATGCTAATTAGTATGACGATATTCAAATCACAATAACAAGTTTTTCTTATAGCACTATTAGAAGACTCAGACAAAAGAACTTTTTAAATAAATAAAAACTATTCACACTAACAGGATATTTTGTCTTTAACTTTCAATTGATATTTTACTTATCGTGTTTGCTTACGAGGATGTTTTTATTGTATTTAAAGTTAACGCTAACAGTCACAAAGTTAATAGTAATAATGTGACTAATGCAGTACTACTTAGTAGAATACTCTGGGTTAAGCGCGCATGCCTATGGGTTAACGCAATAAGTGTGACGCGCGACTTGGCCAGCGGGTGCTCGGCCGCGAGCGTTACCTCCCGCAGGCAGCAGGTGGGGACGAGCAGGCCCTGCCTGTGCAGCTGGCGGAAGTCGCACGAGAGGCGCGCCTCGTCGCAGGAGAAGCGCAGGGGCGCGCGGCCGGGCAGGAGCACGGTGTCCACTTGCCAGGCGGCGGCCAGGCGGCGCCACGCGTCGCGGCCCGCCCCCGCCCCCGCGCCCTCGGCGCCGCCCTCGGCGCCGCCCCCCGCGAAGAAGAGCGCGTCCGGGCAGGCGGCCGCGACCGCCCCGCGCCGCTTCACGCGCAGGAACCAGTCCTCCCACAGCACGGCCGCCGGCAGCCGCTCGTCCAGCGCCACCTGCGCACCCACCATGCGCCCGTTGCGCGCGCAGGAATCGACGCAGGGGACGACAAGGAAAAGGCTTTTCTAAATTTTATTTGGAGACATGCGGTTGTCCAGTTTATCCAATGATACGTTTTCAAAATTTAAAAAAATGGTCTTTTACAATTATCTCAATTTGATCTTGACCTGTAAAAGCAGATATCTTTACGCCCAAAAATTACATTTTCTACTTAATGGGGCTATATAGCCATACATCTCACATTATTTCTAATTTCGCAATTTAAAAAAAAATCAGGAAGTTCAACGGCAATGTGATCTGTCCCATTTTGAAAGCATGATTTGCTTTATCCGAATAAATAACACAAAATTTCGAATCATTTTTGATACAATTTTGAAATTTGTTGAAATTATTACAATCCAATACACAATCACGTATACGTAAGCTCGTCACTACCCTGAGGAAGCCTGCGACATGTCGGGCGAAACGTCGGCACCCCAGCCAACGACGCGGCGTCTCCCGGACAGCCGAGAATTCACACAATCACGTAGGTCTATAACTGACGGAACACTACCACTCTCCACTCTTTTGTGTACTTGAATAACGTACTTATAATGAACGTCTTAAAATAAATATGTATATTTATTCGTTTAAAATGAACTTTTAACATTAAAACTGTAACTTTCTACAGGAATTCTTGTTGAAATGGCATCAAATGGAAGCCATCTAACTCGTATAACGTTATATGTCGTTATTAAAAAAAGTAATAGATACGTTGTAAATCGTTATGAAAACGAGATGAGCGTGAAGTCGGTCCATGCAGAGAGAAGCGAAACCGCTGCCACCCGATATCCTCTTCCACCCGAAGGCCTCGTCACGCGCTGCGAGGAGTTGAGGGAAATAACAATTTACATTGCGGACATTTCTAATGATATTCATGTCGGTTTTGGATACATTGGTGAGGTCCAACGTGGGGAGCCCGGCACTCCCGCGAGCACTGGCAACTTCCCACGAGTTTGCTCTCTTTCTACTACGAATCCACAGAAGGATGCGCACGCGCAAGCCGCAACAGACTTCTTTCTGTCAAATAACCGAGATTTGAATTATGTTAATATTTTATTACTAACTAGTATTTTAAATTCTGTGTTGTATAAACATTTTTGGCGAGTGTCAGAAATATGTTTGAATAACAAATTATTTCCTTCTTTTCGTTTTGTGTTGTTTTATATCAATCATTTATAGATGGTATATAGAAATAATGTGTAATAAATTACGAAGTTTCTATATGTTACAATTCTCGCTTATGAACCCACAGCTCTGAAATTATTGCACTTTTATGAGAAGTAATTGCGAAATAAAGATATTTTAAATTCATAATGGTTTAGTACTCTCTTTTGAGAACTTGAAATGTGACTGATATATTATTTCTTATTAAAACATATTTATTTGCTTTAGTAGAGTAAATCGTAATTAATAGTTACATTTGGAATTGGGAAATGATTGTCAAGTGACTTCTCCAAAACTCTGTCATGGGCCAGGCATCCAATGGCGCGTGAGGGTAATTTGTCCAATTCTTACTTTTAAACCTCACGCCAGTTGCTCCGGATGCAGAGCCAGGACCCGCCTGCGCTGTGCTCTGCGCGAGAGGCGCGAGGGGCAGGTCGACGGGCTCACCTCGCGCAGCAGGCTGGTGCGGGCGACAAAGGGCCCGCGCAGCGAGTCGCACAGCATGCAGTCGAGCGCGGAGAAGCGGTAGCCGCGCCGCACGCGCAGCGCGTAGTTGCGCAGGCGCGTCTCTGCGCAGCCGGCGCTCCAGCGGCCCCCGGGGTCGCGCACCGCGCCGCCCGCCACCGCCGCGCCACGCACCGCGCCCGCTGCCGGAGCCAAACGCGCTCATCAGAAGGGACGAAATGGAGGGAAACTAGGGGGCACCAATAGCACTTACTTTCTCACATTTTCTAAATTTGCAATTGTCGAAAATGCCACAGCTTGCTGAAAGAGCCGAACGAGCTCATCAGTCGGGTGCAGATTCATTGTACTACATATAAAGACGCTAGGAGCTCCATTAGCACATATTTTCGTGCAATATTTCTCAATTTACAATGTTAGAAAATTCAGTGTGTTCGACAAAAATGAAACTAGCGCCATTCCTTTAAGCCTCCCTTCTATCCTTCTATTCGTTTGAAGAAAAATTGGAAGGGCTTTTGAGAAAAATTGAAATTACATAAATTTCAGACCTAATTTACGCGATATCTATTAGTTCTTTTTATAAAAAAATTGTTTTCATGACCATTTTTAAAGAAGTGAATTTTTACATCAGACTTCGTCTGATTCAATTTCTATCTTGAATTTTGTTATTTGGAAATGTTAACTTTTTGCAATTTCCAAAAAGACGAAGAGTTCACTAATAATGAGACTAGCAATTAATTTTTGCTATCCCTTCATAAATGTAAAGAGGATATTTAAAGAAAAAATATGTGATTTTTAAGAAAAAGTTACTTTAGAAAATTGTAATTGCTTGTATGTTGCGCAAAATTACATGAAAACTACCCATGTTTATAAATTTACCATTCTCTTAAACAGGAGCACTACCACGAAGTGAAGATTATATTGAATATCTGACTAGGGGCGCAATGTATCCTCTAAAAGGGACATTTTATACGTCGGATGGAAGGGTCAGCAAGTAGCAATTGTGTGCTGTTTCAACCAAACTCCTAAGAAGAATCTTTTTCCTAACATAACTCTCCGTACAATTCCAGTTGCCCCGTTGGGTACTCTGGCACCTGCTGGCCTTTCGGTGCAAACTACACTTCAATGCCAGGACCACAGACTCCGCCCACGAGAGGTCATTTCGAAGTTCCACTATCACGGGGTGGGCTAACTGCTGCGTCGACGTTAGAGACATGATGACCACTATGGAAAGCAAATTTGACAAGACTTGAATGAGGAAGCATGTCTCTAAACTAGAGTTGTACTGAAGAAATGAAAAGTGAATAGATGGAATGAAAATGAAATAGATGGAAAAATCATCTTTCTACCAAATGCAATTTATGCGGTGTTAAATAACTAATTTAATGATCATAAATAGCAGTGAATTCCTGTCCCACACATAATAAATATTTCATATATAATAATTCAGACATCTGTTAATTATAATGTATTCTCGAGAAAATATACAATGAGCAGGAGAATGAGGGATACGCACACCGTGTGTGGTCACAAGTTCCCCTTTACATATTACACACAAGGTAATATTATAAAGAACAATATATGTATATATATATATATATATATATATATATATATATATATATAGTATTATTTGTTAAAGTTATACTATTGTGATCAACATTCACTAATTTATAAGTGGGCTGGAAAATCTTTTTTTATGAAAGTTATTTTAATATCATTTACTTAAATAATCATTACTAACACGTGAACGTATTCAAGAAGTGAATATTCACACAGGCAGACATCCAGACAGGCAATCGTACGGGCAGGCAATCGTATGGGTAGGCAATCGTACAGGCAGGCGGACGTACGGGCAGGCAGGCAGTCAGCCAGAAAACTAACCAGCCAGCCAGAGAGACAGACAGAAAATCCTAATTTTTGGGTACAAATTTTTCTCTCTCTTCGCCACTTGCACCGCAATAATTCATTACCATTGCTACGTTAACTCTATATCCAACAGCAGCAACATATATTAATATTGACGTGTGCTAAGCTACAGCTCAAAAGAACGTTAAACAGATTTTACGAACGAAATGTATTGGGAAGATCGTTTCAATGGCCTTGCGCATTGTCAACCTCAGAGGCAGCAGCCAGGGACGATGTCTTGTAGCGCAATCTTTTGCACCACCAATGGGCTTGCGTCACCGACGGGCGGGGTTCACTCCTTCCTACTACCTCACCTCTGACCTTTCCGGCGGAGGTGTCTAATGATGGCATACACTCCTTTGGACATCGCCGTCGCATCAAGTCAGGCAATCACTTGAATTTACATTACAGTGACGACCGAGTGCAAGTGCTCTAACATAAAATAATGTATTCGCATTTTATTACTTTTCCTGAGCTATGTGTAGTAAAGAGGAAAATTATTGTTGGAAGTCAAGATTTAGACGGAAAAATATGATTTGATGCCCTAAGAAAAATTTGCAATAATGTTTGATATCATTAATAGGCGCTTAATATATGCTTACTTATATATTTTGTATCTTAAATTTTATTTTATATTTTTTATTTTTTGATAATATTTATTAGTCTGTTAATTGAAGTCTTTCATTGAGATTTGCTGTTGTAAACGTGTGTGGGTTGTGCATTATATTTATATCAAATTATTATTATTATTATTATTATTATTATTATTATTATTATTATTATTATTATTGTTAATATTATTATTGTTGTTGTTAATATTATTATTAATATTGATATTATTATTATTAATATTATTAATATCATTATCATAAATATTAGAGATACAAAAATGTGATGCGATTGTCCCTACCCGTGGCAAGGCCCCAACACATTATACCATTATCTCAGCACAAATTCTTTAGGGAAATTTCTACGAATTTTTCAGTTCTTTTGTATAAAATGAGCCCCCTCTTAATGCTTCGCATGAATTGGTGCAATACCAAAGCACATCTTTACACATTGGGTATAGTAGTTATGTAAAATGATATCTAGGTTATCTTCTGTTATATATGGTACGTTATATATGTTCTGTTACATATGTTATAAACATTGTCGACAATCTCATTCTATCTCTCCAATAACCCACTGTGTAAGTAAAACTGATTTGTTGATGCATAGATGACGATGAATATTTATAAGAATGACATCCAACATCAGACGTTGAAGTCAAGAAATGATACAAAAAAAATTGACTGTGTCATATTTAAATATTTACAGTGTGAGAATGTCCGCTATTGAAGAAAAACAAGTATTAAAATTTACATTCGGTAAGATAAAATGAAGAGAAAAGCGTAGGTAATGACGAATGACGACCTGCCGGTAAGGAAAACTTAACGTGGTGGAATAGCCAAGAAAGGTGCACGTAAGCAAGCGATATATCTACAGAGCAGCGAGCGGTGCCGTACTGGCGTTGCTGCGGCGAGCGCTGGCGCTGGCGCTGGCGCTGGCGTTCGCCCCGAGCACGGAGACGACGTAGATGAGGCGCTCGAGGCGCGCCAGCTCGTCCACACGCACGGCGTCGCGCGCCACCAGCACGTAGGGCGTCCGCACCAGCGCCACCAGCCGGTTGAGCAGCGCGCCCGGCGCCGCCCACTCGCGCTCCGCCGCCGCCACGGTCGCCGTCTGCCACACGCATTGGGCGCGCGCTATGGGACTTTGGTTGGAGGGTGGAGAAAGAAGAAGTTGAAAACTCGGTTCTACAGATACGATCTTAATTTGGACTCTCAGCTTTTCCAGTAATCACTTTTTTATCATCCCTGAACCAACGACGTCTAGTGTTTTAGCTAGGGTTGTGCTATAATTCAATCCAGGTTACTCTGCCGTAAATACGTGCAATATCTTGAAAATACCAGAGCTTGTGATTCCTTGCGTATGATTTTCCATCATGAAAACAGCATTTTTTTTTCGAGGAGTCTAGGTCTATGTGCAAAGATAAAATATAATCTAGGCGCAAAGAGAAAATACCTAGGAAAAGAAGCCCTTTGCTCTGCGAAAGGAGGATGGAGATGTTGGCTCTAAGAGGAGAATAACTATAGGAGAGAGGAGGCGCGAGCTTACCAGCGGGTGCGCGGGCGGTGCGCGGCCGCGGGCGACGGCGGCGACGGCGCGCAAGCGCGGGTGCTGGCCGCGCAGGGCGGCGAGCGGGGCGTCGGGCGGGGCGTCGGGCGGGGCGTCGGGCGGGGCGGCGGGCGGCGGCGCCAGCAGCAGCGCCGTCAGGAGCTCGTGCAGCGGCGGCTTGTCGGCGCGCCGGCAGTCGTCCGCCGGCACGAAGCCCTCCCGGAAGAACGGTCGGCCGAAGGTGCTGCCCTTGTAGACTTCGCCGCACGCGTCCGCCGACGCGGCCGCTCGCAGCGCCTGGTCGCCCGCGCTGAGCGCGCGCCGCGGGTCCAGCCGCGCCATCACCCGCTGCAGCAGCGCCAGGGCGCGCGACGCGTCGCCCTCGCCCTCGCCCTCGCCCTCGGGAACTGCAAACCAGGGGGAGGTCACTGCAGGGCCTCTGACCGGGAGGTCCGAGATAATCCTAGGTCCTATAATCGTATGGGTCCCACAGTCACCGGTGTTATTTAATTTTGTATACTTACTATTACGATTGATATGCAAGACATTAAATATGACACGTTGGTTAAGTGTTATTCAGTTTCGAGCTGTGAACTCGCTTGTGAAGCGGAGGATACAAACGTTTCAGCAACAGGGCCGCTTCTTCCAGCTGCCTGGCGCTCTCCCGCAGGAAGTCCACGTCGGAGGTTCTTGCATCACACTCGCCCACGTTGCTTGAGAATTCGCAGGAATCGGTCCACCTCCATCCTGTGGGTAGAAAACGTGTATCCGTGATGTAGACATGGGCACCTTATCTTTATTTGAATATTAAATAAAAAATACTTCGTAATTATTTTCAATTTAGTTTTATGCCGATTCTGAAAATATATAGATAATGAAAAATGTTTTAAACGTACGCTAAAAATAATCATAGTCAAATAATGTTTAGTTCAATTATTTATTACATCACAAATTGTTCTGTGACGAGACTACTTCAAATCGCATTACAATTTACCTTGATCTAAAACATTTTGATCTGTTGAACCTCAATTTTACTTTCTAGTATGCGTCATGTGAAATGGATGTAATGCTGCCAAAAGATCGATGTTGATATTTTCATGGAAAATGTTTTGGAAGTCACCGATACATAAAACCTGTTTTCCCTCAAAAGGTCTGGCGGTCTGGGAATAACTCTAGCGCCCACACCGCAGTCACCAATTTTCAAACGCTATTCTATGTCACAGAGAAGCAAGATATATTAGAAGCAATAAATATTACATTAAATAATTTTTTGCTTGCGTCTATTTTCTTTCTTACATATAATGATCAGGATTCTATTGAATTCCCAATATATTAATTACAAATCCTATTACAACATTGAGGGGTAATTTTTCGCTTCAGTTACTGTAATTTCATGGGGTCAAATGGCCTGTATGTGGGATCTATTTTTTATACATTACATGAAGTTCCTAGATCATTATATTTTTAAAAAACACTGCTCCATTTTTTAAATTTCTTTGTCGCATACAACAAACATAATGTAGAGAAAGTTATGCAATGTTGCCACGAAAAACGGCTATTTTTGCCAGTAAAAGTATTCGTGTTGCTATATGTAGAAAATGAATTCATCAAACACGTGTTATCGTAATACCCGATTTGTGGGTCTTTGATGAGGGAAAATTGGCCGGCAAAACGCCTCTCCGTCCGTCTGTCTGGCCCTTTGCTCCGCAGCATTCCACGACTTTCGTTTCTTCGAACATTTTTTTTCATTCAAATGTTTTCTTGAGCAACGAATCGTATCTACTTACCAAGAATAAAACCAGCAACGGCTGCCGCTACAATTATTATAGCCAACCGGCAAAATCGAAGGGACGTTTGTCTCATAGCCAACGACTGGAAAGCCCTTGCGCGCTACCTGTAAGAGAAATTTCTTCGTCACTTCCAGTTGTCAATGTAGTACACAGTGTTAAAATACTATGGCACAAAGAATCATAATTCATGTTGATTGGAACAAAAGGGAAATTTGAAAGTATTTATAATAGAAGAGGCAAAAAATCAACTTTCGTTTCGAGGATTAAAAGTTTTCGGTTATTGTCAGTCTCTATTTTTACTTTTTCGTTATTCTATGTATTGTGCGAAAATATGTTTTCTTCCTAATTAAATACTTTCCTGACTCTTCGTGTGTTCAGATTTCATGTTTTGTGAGACCTTAATACTGAAAAAGTGGTTGGTGTCTAAACTGCACGTCTATTTTTCCGTCTATCATCGGTCAACGCGAGCGCCTATCCCGTTAAAACGATTTTCTTCAGAATTGATTTTCCCTGATTAATCTGGCCGGGCGAATTTAAAATGGATATTTTGATCTTTTGAGATACTTCATATGAAGAATAAACATGAATTTTATTAAAAATAACTTCAAACGTTTTCAATAAACTTTTTTCGAAGCTACAGCAAAAAAACACCTAAAAGTTGTGCTGGTCATTTTTCGTTAAGCTCTTGGATTTTCGAAAATTGCAAAAGTTCAAATTTTCTCCGTTTTTAACTATAATATTGAAGGTAGATTCTTAACTAAATATGCGCAGAGACAGATATAATAGAGTTTTGATCATTCTCATACACTGGTATTTGTGAAAATTGCAGCACCCATAAGGAAAAAAATAGGCGGACGTGTACAACAGTGTATCCATAAGGAATTAAATGTGCATTGAGATGGCGTGCACGTTGTCTTCCTTGAGCATCCTGATACCACTTACCGCCCTGTCCCCGATGACCGGCGTATTTCCGCTGACCGCCCTGTCCCTGATGACCGCCTGACTTCACTGACAACCCATACCCTCCCCTTCTGTGAGCTGTGTTCCCGTTGTCTGCCCTTGTCTATTTATAACACTGTCGTCTAAAATATGTTTAAACTGAAATGCTGTGTTGCTACCATGAAAACACAATGTCTTGAATAACATGTACACATACGTAACACATATGTACAGATTCATTATAGATAAATGATACATTCAGCAAAAATATGGATTTTTCCTAATGATCTGCTCTGACATTTAGGAAATGGATATATTTTGCTTTCATTTAAGTAGTTAATGGAAGAGTGTTATGCAATAGATGACTAAAATATTAGGAGATACTAGATAAGTTGCAGTATACTACATATTAAAGTACTAAGCAGCGATAACTTATAAGAAAAAGGCTATCCTATGTTGTCGCACTAATAGTTGATGAAACTTAGGTGGTAGGTGATTAAAAATACACCAAAAGACACATATTAATTTACATTTAAAAGAACAGTATTAATTTGCGTTTTGTCGTAAGTAACACATTTTTACAGTGAATATTTTTGGAATTAATAGTGATATAAACCACGGCATTTATTGATTTTTTACCGAATACAAAAAATTTAAATATGAAATAAATCATAAATTCTCCACATTTAGCATATTCAGAGTCTCTGAAATGTTTCCATTAAATACAAAGAGCAAACTGTTGATACAGTTTCTCGCCTTGCGTTGCCAGTATTTCTGTTGATTTGATTTAAAATTACAAATATTCTTTGCTTTTTTCTTCGTTATCTCCAAAAACTCACTATAGTTCTTTGTATATTATTTAATCCTATTCCGATCTTGAAAATAAACATGAATATTATAGATGATAGCAGCACATCTTCTTGTGTAAGAAAGTCTCAATGATATCTCGAGAAATGTTCTTACTTTCTACAAGAACTTGTCAAGATCTTGCTGCTACTGGAAATTGATTTTTCAATGTCAATGTTATAACAATCATAATTATTTGTGTGCAAAAATTTTAAACGGTATTATTTGCTTGTCTTTAGGGCATGTAAAGACATGTGCCCCAACTGAAAAGAAGACATTTATCAACTCAACATAATTCTGAAATTACATCTTATTATTTTGTCAGCAAATATCGTAATGTTTATTTAAGTATAAATTAACTGTATTAATGACTCATATTTCACTGTTTTGCATATATACGCAATTCGCTCTCCGCCTTCATTGGGACAGACACTTCCTTACAAGCGATGGTAGGCACAAACATTTTAAACCAAGTTTTGCTCATTTTCTAACGAGTTTGTGAGTTAATACAAAATTTTCACATGTGACATTCTGTAGAGAATATCAGGATTTTCTTTCTCTTGAATATAACCAATAAATAAATATATATTTGTAAAGTATATTATGTGGAAAAAAGTTGTGCCAGTGCAATCGCAATGTCGAAGGACATTTTGCCTTTTCTCCTCTCATGTATTAGTCCTTGATATCTCTCAGCGCACCTGCAGTCCGAAGAGGAATATTTTTAATGAAGTTATTGGTAGATAGGGAGGAAATCCTCCCTTGAACTTCCTTGTACAGCCTTATATTTGAGGCAGGCTAGGCCCAGACGTGAATAGAGCAGCACGCCGGCGTAGTATTAAAAATTGGACTGAGAGAAGTCGCAGGAAAACCAAACTGACAGATCTGTCTCTATCGCCCCCTCACAAGTCTCCGCATATAACCTAATTTCTTGTATTTAATTGGCTGCCCGGGTGACGCCGCGTCCATAGCAAAGGTGCCGACGTTTCGGTCGCCATTCTGCGACCTTCCTCAGGGCGTAATGCCTGAATGGCGACCGAAACGTCGGCACCTTTGCCATGGACACCGCGACAGCGAATTAAATACTGACTCTGGTTACGCTCTACTTTCTTGTATGTTTCATTTAAAGTACTTTATACCATTGCTTTTGGTTCTCCTCCTAAGGAAAATGCACAAGGAGACACTAGTAGCAACAGTATATGGAAGTGTTTCTAACTAAAGGAAATAAAATTTTATCTTCGAAAGCATTAATGACCAATTTTCCCAAAAGTACTTTTATAGTAAATGTAGAAAATATTTATATATTTTCCGATAGCAGATTTGAAAAAAATCCTTATAATGTTTCTGAATACGTGCAGCTTTGAGTTCATTAGCTCAAAGAAACTTTTGAGATTTCGAAACTCTTGAAAAAAGGTCATTTGAATCGATGAAAACCAGTACGGTGTAAGTGACATTTTATTAATTCTGAGAAAAAATATTTTAGGCTATATTTCAGTGGCAATGTATTTTTGTGGTTTTAATGATGAAACAAAGCACCACGACTTTACTGTGATATTGATTTAAACATATTTCTCAAAATTTATAAAATGTCACCAACACCATACTGGTTTTAGCTCATTCATTTGAGGCACTTGCGCTCACAAAACCATTAAATTATGATATGTAAGTATTATATAAATTAATAATATAATATTTTGTAAATATTATTGTCGTGAGAAACATGTAAAAATATGTAGTTCTTGAGGCAAATATTGTTTTATCGAAATAACACATAAACGATGTTATTCTTAGCAGTTGCAGTATATGCTTAAACTGTTTAATGAAACATTTTGAATCGTTTTAGAAACAAATATTACTTTATTTTAAGAAATGTGACTCCCAAAATTATGAAAAAAATGCTCATATTTTGACAAAGGTGTTCACGGCATTTTTAAGAAATCTACTACTAGTATTGCAGAACAGACTTCAAACAACCGTTTTCTGCTTAAGGTGACATAGAATGAATTTTGCTGCATAATTTTGTTTTTTTACAAAATTACACAAATGTATTTTTTTAAAATATTTCTAATGCCTTTGATATGCAGATTTCCAGCAAATTTTAAATACGATTGTTTTTGTCACTGAAAGTGCTTGCAATTACTGTATGTAACGATTTTCTCAAACTCAGTACATCTCTGTGAAAAGAGGTTCAAATTTCGCATTTACAGTAGCGCTTAAACGCCGTTTCCTGAAAAATGTCTCCAAGTGTTTCAATGAAAAGTGCCATTTAAAACGAAGTTTCACTGTTTCTTAATATTTTTAAAATAATATTTTCATTCTACTAATATGAAACCGAAAAGGAAGAACTTTTCCAAAAAAAGTACTTTGGGCAGCAGGCAAGGATACGTGGCAAGTCAGAATAATAGCCGAGACCAAAGGAAATAGAAAACTAATTCGGGAAAGTCTATGCCATTCTGTAGCATTACTAGTTCCAATTTTTCGTGGTAGTTTTAAATAGTATTTTTAAGATAGAAAACCTAATGGGGTAATTTCAATTTCAATTGCGCTAATTTCTTTTCATTGAACTTGGAATCTTGCCATTGCCTTGCCTGTTTATTTGCGAATCTGTAATATCTGTCAAAAGTGACTTACTTAACGGTGGTAACACATTTTCGTGCAATACTAATATTTATAATTACAACACACGCCGTAAAAATCACGTTCATCAAGTGCCAATAGATCATTATCAGAAATCCACATACTATACATGTACGATACTCTACAACACATTGACAGATGACATTAAACAATTAAATTCAGTACACAAATTTAAGTTAAAAGTAAAATCTTTCCGGTTGCATAACTGCTTCTATTCAATTAGAGACTATACTGATCATCGAAAAGAAAAATAATGTTTATTTAACAAAACAATTATATATATATATATATATATATATATATATATATATATATATATATATATATATATATATTGGTTTATACACGAATTGGTTTACATTTGTATTCTATAATTTAAAAAACACTTAATATGCTTGTAACAAATAATGTACTTCAGCTTCCGGGTTAATGACCTCCATCACGATCAGGGTTTTGTTCAGTTTCCCTCATACCTTGAGCAAATGCTAATATGTCCCCTTGTTTTGCTTCTGGACGTAAATGGAGCTTCACTATGCGCACGTTTTGTTGAACTCTCCTTTCGCTTGTAGTTCTTGACGTAGAGCGGAGACGGAGTTACTATTTGTTAGCTTAACATAAAAATCAAATCCGCTTAGCTTACCGTTGCAAATAAGAGTTTCTATAAATCGGGAACAAAATTGTCTAGCTTTTCAAATTTTGCTAACCTCGCGATTTTTAAATTTCATTTTTATTTACTAATCTTTCAAATATTAATAATTGAATTGGAAATGTTAATTAAAATAAGGGATTTTGGAACTCAAGAACACATGCGCAGGTATTCTACCCCATACGTCACATATAGTTTAACGTTTTTTGACGAAATAAATCTAAATCAATTAACTTGCGACTCGAAGAACAAATGCTTGTATACGCTCATCCCGATAGTATATGGGTTAGGGTAAAGGAACTGAAGACAGCGTTCACAGAATACATATCTCCCGTCAATTCATACCTCTACGTCCCACACAGTTTCTATCAGATTTTACATTAAATAAGCAAAATATAAAGCTTCGTAACGGATCCATGTCAATCTCTGATAATCAGAAGAATCCGAACGACTGCTCGTCAACCGCGCGCGGAGCTGTAGATGAATCTTGATGAGCCTTGCACGATCAAGATTAGAATTGTCTCTAGCCCCTGAATGAAACGATCAAATCAATAAATATTCCATATTATTAACTTTGATTGTTCACTCTTCAAGCAAATGAGAAAGCAGTACTTCATAGCAATATTTGTAAGGATAAAGAATGCATATATATTGCAACTTAATATACGTATAAGTTCTTGAGCCTAATGATCTAGGATTTGTAATTTGAAGTTAACTAATCTTTAGTTAAACAATGAGAAGGGATTGATAAAATAAATAACGGCCTCTCAAATTATGTTCGTGAAGAGTGGCAAATTTGCATCAGGCGACTATGATTGACACCAAATTACCTAAAAATACGGTACTTTAGAAAAGTTGCACGTGACATTATTAAAAAGATCAGTTTGTGATGAACACATATCAATAAGGAAAACATTTATCTAGCAATTGTCCTTGAACAAGGACCCGAAAAAATTGTTATTTTTGCAATGTTTGAAAAAATAAGAAATTTTAAGCGACTTGTACGCCAACTGACAAAAATGTTTTGTATATTTGCAATTTTTGAAAAATCAGGTTTTGCAAAGAAAATGTGACCTGCTCCATCCTCTTAAACGTACTATTCAACAAAAAATGTAATAAAAAATTATGCGAATTTTTGAACATTTTAAATATGACGTAGGGGTTCTACGTTCAACCCCCCTTAAAATTAAAGTATCGGTTGAGAATTCAAGAGCCCGCGCCACCTGTCAATCGAATGGCGAATATCAATTTTGGAGATAATCGGTCGAACGGTTTACCCGCTAGTGTTGTTCAGAGACACGGAAGACATTTTACCGTCAATCAATTTTTCGGTATCAAGGACCCACAGAATACAGATTCTGGGTGCACGACGTGTTAGAAGATTGTTTCTATATTTAGCAACAGGATTTATCCACTTTTTTGTTACCTCGTCTTGACAATAAGATATTTTGTGTCGGAAATTCGCTGTTTTTTCCCTCAGCAATACATAACTTCCTCTGTATGGCGTAAGCAGTACAGAAAAATAACTTCTAGTGAATTACTATGAAATACGACGTTGTCACCGATATAATCTCATGTAACCTTCTAAATTCACATTTAATCAAAGTTTTAAAACCCATTTTGAAATTACTATATTTGTTCTTAGTGATTTAAAATCTACAATAATTTAAGAAAGATCCACATCATTAAATCCACTAAACGTTTTAAGAATGATTAAAGCCATCGTTTAATAACTTACCTTATTTTATAAAAATGGATGTTCACTTCATTAATAATTTTCTTACTCTTGAAACAAAATAATGGGTTTTTGAAACATACAAAAACGGGGGAAAATGTTTCATAACTTTCGCGATTGTATCATAAGGTTCACTATAAGTTATTAAATATATCACAACACACTTTAAGCTAGTAGCCATTTAAAATGTATATTTCTCGTAAAGAACAAAATAGCCTTCTTATCATGATATTAATTTTCAGAAACATATTTTCGAATCATTATAGCTAGAAACTTCAGTTTTTCACATAAGCGAATGCACTGTAAACGCAGCGAAAGCACGCACTACGCTTTCGTTGGTCGAAGGAGAGCCTGCCACATCTCGGCCTCCGCAGAGCTTGCAACGGCGCTCACTGCTGGCGGAACTCGGCGACGATACGCTATCGTGCGTCGGAACAGCAGCAGATCGTCTTTCAGCGGCGCTGGAAGCCCTACATTGCTCGCAGTGAAGCTCTACTGAATAGAGCGGGACTAACGCCTGCAAGGAAATGGAAATGTTCGCATTCAGTGGACAAAAGCGTTTGTTACGGGAACTAAGCGTTGGTTTACTATGAAAGACAAATCAACCATAAGAAAATCACTATGAAATAGGATGCATTGTGTTTTTATCTAATTATCTTGTCAAATTGCTACATTTAATTTCTCTGAAATTTATCTTGCATTTTGGTTTGCGATTGACATCAATTGATACTATTTACTTTTGGAATTGAATGTAGAAATTCGTGCAAAGAATATTACATTGTTTATACTAGCTAAGCCCTTGAGAATAATCTACACATCCCATTTTTTCTTTTAAACATAGCGGCACTTCAAGGTCACAAGCTGGAATAAGATCATGAGGTAAACATTTTCCTACAATCGGGAGATGCAATACCAAAAACTTAATGTACACGTAAGCTTTGGTCTCTGCGTCACACGGACAGCCGAGAAGCCGTAACCAGCTCCCGACTGGGCGCGTTTCCTCTCTTCGTCCAGCTCCAAGTCCTTACATAGAAGTGTAAAACATTGTTTTGGAAGGAACAATAGTGTCTTTTTACTGGATCACAACTTTGAATTGCGAACGAAAACGTGATTTTAAGGCCCCTTGGACGCATAATTTCTGTAAAAATAAAGTTAAACACTTACGTGTGTGTGCCCTAGTTTCTCATAAAACTGCCAAATATTTCATACTTTCTTTGCTTATTTGACCGGATAGTTTATATTGGGATGCTGGAGAATAACAAATATTTCCTATCGTTATAAGGAGAAGTTGTCGCTGTCCCGGAGGGTACTGTTTAACGTATAATAGTATGATTGTACGTTTGATAGCTATGTTGAGTAGTAAGTATCATGCTAAATAATTGTAATGAACAATATTTGAAAGGATCATAATAAAAAAAATAGTTGTTCAGTTACAAACGGGTTATATTTACGAAGATAATAAGATCACATAAGTAAATCGACAATTACGCAGTTGAACACAAATCTTGGAGTCGTATTTTTTTCTTTGGTTTGAGAGGTCAATTACCAGATTAATATCTTCTTTATAACCACTAAGTTGTTTGAATTGTAATGCACACTTTTAAACACGCAGTGGGTAAGGAAGTGCTATTGAAAACTCTTTCGTATTGTTTTATTATATCGTTCTCCTTTTATAGATTTCCTCTTGTTTAAAATTATTATTCGTGCTCTGCATGCACTTCGACATGGCTGTGTATTTTTCATTTATACGAATTTATATATTGCACAATTAGGAGAATTCAACAAAACTGAAAATATTGGGGAACAGCCCTTATAATTACACATGTGGAGGTAACTATTTTTGGTCGCCCATTTACCTTCGTCGTGCCGCCCATTTGTTTTTATCACACCATGTCACTGCTAACAAAGTGTGCATGAACGTGTTGATCTTGTCGAGTGTGAATTTAGAGAGTTTGAAGTTCAGGAAAGGGAACCTCACTTGTAGCCCTTAGTTTCGTAGTCGCAAACGCACCTCTTGTAAACATGGAACTAGTATTTTTATTTTATAAATTGATTATTCATCTTATATTCAAACACCAATATGTGAAGTCCAAGTTTTCCATGGCAACAATGTACTAAATGCAAGGACACTTGACTTTTCGAAGAGAAAGGGATCTTTTATTTGAACCGAATTGCTAGAGAGCAGTGTGTTTGAGAGCGAGATAAGAAATAAAGAACTGTTATAATGAAGAGCAATTGGCGATCACAAAAAGTATTTGGTTGATAAAATGACAGCAATCAATTTTCCTTAATATGGGTTGATAGATGACTGCTTTCGGGTTAAGTGAAACCAATGTTCGTTATTGAACAGTTTCTAGGACGCTAGTCACTAGCAGGGTGCAGTGTTAAACTGCAGGTCCAACCAGATATTGTTCTGCCCTAAGTAGAACGGAAGTTTATGACATTTAAAAAAATTAATACGTATGTATAAATCATAAAATAGTAAGTGGAAACTTATGAACTATTAGTTGCATATACGAGTATTCCACGACGGAATATGATTTGCCAGCGTCTGTATAGTACAAATATAAAGCAAAGTTTCAATTAGGAGTGTCTGGGGAACTTGTGGGTGTCAGGAGTTTTCACTAAAAGATGCAATTTTATCAAATCGCAGGAGCGCATTCTGACAGACATCCTAAATGATACACCACATCACCAGTTTGGATTGAGAGAAAATCACTCCACAAGAAAACATACACATCGCGTCGCTGACAACGCATCCGCTGGCATTGGAACTCAAAAACACAACCGCACCCTCGAACATTGGCGACGCGTTTGGTACTTTGTGACACCAGTCGCGCGCGGATCGTGGATTTATGCTGGAGAGGCTCAAACACGTCGCGAAGTGAGTAAAATTAAAAGGTTTTGCTGAAACTGGAGTCGTAACGTCGGGGATTTGGGTGATGGGCTTCGCTTCCCCCATATTTGTGGATTTTTAATGTTCACATTAGATACATTTTAAAATACATGGGTAACTATCGAAGAATAATTATAAATAGATATAAATGTTTAAAAACATTATATACATAAAAACGTATACAAAGGCGTCTAAGAATAAATTTTACAAACATGTTGGGCAAGTAGAAGGGTCGAAGATGCCTTTTTTCAATGAACTTATATTGGGAAATTGCGTATGATGGAGTTAAGTATATGAATACCTTGATTTTTAGACAACTCAGTGAGCAAAGATGTTCGGCAGGTACACAAAATATTCTTCTCTGTATCTGATCACGTCCTGCCCAACACCTGTGCATAAATAGTTGCCTAATTGCAGGGGAAAATACCATATGAATGAATGCGAATAACCCCTGAGGTTGAAAAAATAAGACAAATTCAAGAATATTTCCCTCTTTTTCCTGGTTGTCCTGGCTTCACAGAAAAAGGAGCGAGAAGTATCAGCAAGGACAATAAATCACGCAGATCGCACCACTTTTTCCACGCCGTGTGACCCGTTTGTCAGTCGTCTGAGCATCCTGAGTCGGGAGCAGCAAAGTGGGCCGCGCGCGCTGACCGCCCCCGAATCCGATCGATGGCGGAAAAAAGTGCGTGAGTGAGATTTCTCTCCTCACGGCACGCACGTGTTTCTCTGGGCATCGACCGCTCCCTCACGTGCGGGGAACACAAGACTTCGTACGACGCTCTAGCGGCTCTGCGGCTGGAATTACATTCCTTGAAAAAAGATTTCTTTTTAGTTCGTCCCCTGCTACTTACTTAGCTAAGTAGTAAAAACCAACTCCTCAGAATCCACGTTCGTGCGTCTTTCAAGGCGATGTGTCAAGCAAAGATTTACCCCTACAGATCTGACTGAATTTGAAAAGTATATTTAGATTTTGAGGGTACTTAGTGAAAGCCTTAATGTTTTCAAACTTTTCTCAAAAAATAGCTCCAATGTTTGGTGCACTTTCCCTCGGAAGAGCAAAGAGCTGCGAAACACGCATTAGTGTTGCACACTCTTCATAATTGAAAAGTGCAAAAGTTGAACATTTTTTCGGCATCTTTCTACAACTCCAATACTGAAGTTAGAGATGTTTTCCTTTATAAAATCTGTTCTTCTATGATAGACCTTGAAATAAGATCAGGAACAATGTTTTTGCAATTGTGAATGGTTTTCGAGTAATTTTGCGTGAAATAGGATTTTCTAAAAACCTAAAAAATGCCCAATGTTTTTCTTGTATAAAGATACGCTTCTAAATATGGACAAGCTTCCTTTTTCGTTGAAAGAGTATCAAATAAGTGAGAAACTATGTACTGTTGTAGCTGCATTGCGGTTATTTTATTACATTACTTTTACTTTGCAGTTTGTCATTTATTCTCTTCGTTTCGGGAACGTTTTTATTTCACTTTTTGACTGAACTAAGAACGTAAATTGTCTGAGATTACAAGCGTAATTGCATGAGATCAAAAAGAATTTTATTTAGCAGTATTTATTATATTTTATAAATTGTGAGTGATCAGTAGTTGCGCAGCATCTTCACATGTTTTAAGAAAGTGGAATGGAAATATTACATTATGTAAGGACTATATAATTTGGGTCGTCCCCTTTGACGTTGGAATATGTGAAGAAGCAATTCTTCAGAATGCATCGAGGTTCATCGCTCCTCGTTTCTTCTCGTCGTGCGCTGCGCTGTGGGTGGCTTCCGAGCGGTTCATTTCATTTGTAATTAGTTGTCTTCAAGCGTTTACAGTGCGTTGCGTAAGTTCAGTTACTGTGTAAATAGGATGTCGCTATAAATGTTGTGCAAGTTTGGACTGGCTGTTAGAAGTAATATAATAAAAAGAATATGCCATTGAAATTTCAAATTAAGACTTCAATTGACAACAGAACTCTTCAAAATACATATTTCCAGTTGTCTTGATAGAAATACTCCTATGTGCCTGAGTTCCTCAAGATACATTCCTTATAGCTGTCGGTCATCACAATAGACTTGGTAGCAGAATCAATAGTGTGAGATGGTCTACCAACAAACGAACTCTTATCGACCAGAGACTTTAAAGATGTGAAACGTTGCTACGGCAACTGTTTTCAAAGTTCTCATTACTCTGTGAAGTTGGTTCGATTTATCATTCACCTTGACTCAAAAATCAATATTTGGAGTCAATCAATGTTGAAAACATTCTTTAAATAAGAAATATTTCTGAGAGCAGAAATCTGTCTTTTGCAAAAATTAATGTATTCATTATTAAATGGAATGGTATTGATTAATTAATGCGCAAACATTTCAGTAGCATAGGCTGACTGTCATACAAGCTATTTGTCAATAAATAGAAAATAGTACTACGTTTTTAAGAAAAAATAATTCTCCCACTATACTCTCCAATTATCATAAATTGTAAAATGTCGAAGAAAGTTATATTTAAAAAGTAATGTGAAAAATAGCAGAAAATTTTGCATATTTATAATTTATTAATTAAAATTCTTATGTGGTTTTATTCTTCTATAATTAATCCAAATTACCGTATGAAGAAAGCATATTAATCTATGAAAGTGAGTGATTTTATTTCAATCATTGACGAGAGACTTTGTTAAAATTTACATTGTGTGAATACTGTTCATTTGTACGTGGAACATCACTTTAAATTTACAAAAACAGCAGATTAGAAATCGGAGGCACTGCACGCAGATGTAGTACATTCGCAAGTGTTTCGAGCGATTTTCTATTGAGAATAGGTATTGTGGATAATTAAATTTGTTCAAAGAATAGTGTGGATGTGAATTAGCATTGCGTACTATCTTGTAATTTATTGTATAGACCTTCAGATATCAAGCTGTCATCCGTTTTTAATGTTATGCCGGAAGATTTTGAGGTCATAAATTACAGTATAGATGTAATATTTCTTAAAGAATACTAACGAACCGTTGTTCATTCAGCAAATATTTTAAGAAATATAATATAAAAAACGAATATTTAAATGAATATATTAACGTCTGTTATATTGTTTATTATTTGGTGTTGGTTTTATGACGTTAATAAACAGACACTGAAATATTTTGTGTTATTAATATTAATATAATATATTAATACTGGTAGTGCATGAACAAAAACTGTGTGGTGAAACATCTATGTAATGTGAGAGCCTGCGTACAACCATTTCCTGGGCTTCATTCTGAAATTTCATTCAAAAATCTTTCCAGCTTGATAGAGTATATTTTTTTCCGTTACGCACGTCCCTCGAAGCGGTAACATTACAACAAACGTACCTGTACATCGCGGGAGTAGTCGGATAGTGGGACTGTCGAGCAACCACCGACGCGACCTCGACAAGCAGTCGAAGTGAGTTCGCGCGTGGTGAAGCAGGGGAGCTCGGCGGCGGCGGCGGCGGCGGTGCGTTGCTCTCCACTCCGACGGGGGGTGCGTCGGCGCGACGCACTCACTCACTCACTCACTCACTCACTCACGCACACCACGGGGAGTCACGTGACCGGCCGAAGGGATGTCCCGCGTGCGGCGAAGGCCGGTGGCGTCGAGCGGGGGTGGCCGGCGGCGGGGCGGGGGTTGGTCCGCGCAGCGAGATGCGCAGACGGCTGGGTGGCGGCGGCGGCAGCGCCCCGGCGGCGGCAGCAGCGGCCACATTGGTCCAGCCCCGCGCGGGCACTGGCGCGGGAGCGGAGTCGCTCTGTGCGCGGGGGCCAGGACGGCGCCGGGCGGGGCGGGGGCGCGGGCAGCAGCGAGTGGCAGGGGCGGTCGCGCGGCGCCACGTCGCGCACCAGCCGCGCTGCGCGTGTTAGGCGGGCTGGCTGCCCGCGACCCACTGCGGCGCAAGCCGGCGCGCCGGTCGCTGGGCGGCGGGGGCGGGGGCGGCGGCGGCGGCGGCGGCGGCGGCGCGAAGCCCGCAACGCGGGCGAAGGACGCCATTGATTCTCTTCCCCGGCGGCTGGCTGGAGGGTGGGCGGGCGCGCGCGCGCTTTAGTAACCTACATCCAATCTTGGTGCCGGAATTTCACGGAGTGACGGCGCGAGATGTGTGAATAATGTGCAGTGTGAGTTGTTCTTCTTGGCGACATGAAAAATGTTGCAATTGTAGGCTAAACGTCACAGTTTATGCGTGTGTATTAGTATGTGTATCTATTTTATATACTATCTCTCTCTCTCTCTCTCTCTCTCTCTCTCTCTCTCTCTCTCTCTCACACACACACACACACACACACACATATACATACATACACACACACAATACTTTGGGGGGGGGTGTACTTTCTGTATGAATGTAGGTGTGTATATTGTGTGTATATATGTAGCATGTAAGTATATATGAATGTAGGTATGTACTTTGTTACTCGTGTATAATGATCTGCTACTCTAATGTATTCCGTTTAAAGTGCTGTTGATGCTTGGAGTTTTCTTTGTGCCATTCAGTCACAAGAGCGCTATTAACTATGCCTCATTACTTTCGCATTCTCCAAAATCTATGAATTAGATAGAAAATGTAGTATTATTGTTTTACACAAAGCATAATTTAGACATAACTTGCATATTTAATCTTTTAGTAATGTTAACTTTGTCATTGTCAGTTGTCATATTCTGTATTCTTATTTCAAACTTTATTGTGGAAGTATAATTTACGTTATTAACTAATTAATTCATATTTTTCTTCAAGCGTTTTTCGAATTTTAAAGTATATTCCATAATTTTGTTAATATGAAGATTAGAGTTATAATAAATAGAGTTCTACACATTTTGCGGAAATAAATTACGTTCAAAACTATCCATTTTTCACTAATTGAAAAGCCA